AGCAACACATAATAAGGAACCAAGAAGCAGATGCGGCACTGTTTTTTTTCTCTCTCTAATTTGTTGCTGACAAGTCTGTCATATTTGAAATCAGTCTGCATGCCCCAAATCAGAAGCTGCGGGAGACAATTGTTCCTAGTGCCAAGTCTTACCCCTTGGGAGCACTGATGGATGACTGCAAGAATTACTTCCTTGAAACTGGGCGCAGGGTATCATTCGAGTACACTCTGCTAGGTATCTATCTGTTTCAGGAGAAAATATTACTAAGCCACATTGTTTTCATCTATTGTGTGGCTAGGTTTTTGTGATACTAACATGACTGGAGTGAATTTCGTGGCCAGCTGGGATCAACGATGAAAAGCAGCATGCCGAAGAGCTAGCAGAACTACTTCGTACGTGTGGAGGTGGTTACCATGTGAACCTGATTCCCTATAACCCAATTGAAGGCTCCGAGTACAAGAGACCTTACAGAAAAGTGGTATGTGTGCTTTGTGTCCTATAATAAATAAAGAAAGACTATATCGTAACGAGTTACTGATCTTTTTTACATGGTTAAAATAAACTGCAAATTAGGTTCAAGCGTTTGTGGATGCTTTAGAAGCTCGGAAGATAACGGTCAGCGTTCGACAGACCCGTGGGCTTGATGCTAACGCAGCCTGTGGGCAGCTGAGAAATGAGTTCCAGAAGAACCCACTGCTTGAAATTGAACCGTCACCCTCCACAGAGCCCACCCTCGTACCTGCTTAATGAGAATACCTCTATCAGGTTGATGCAGCCAATTCAAGCATACGAAATCGCTGTTTAACTGCTGGGGAACAGTGACAGCAAGGTATGCATACTGCTAGAGAAAGTTTTGGAACATTCTGTCCGTGCCCATCTGGTATCATGAGTTGCAATCTGCAATTACCATGCTTGTCTCAGATATTATAGAACCCATCTATCTTTCTTACAGATAGTCATCAGCAATGAAGAACTCTCGCTCGCTGTCCATGGTCTGTTGCGCACGCACGGCTCATTTCATCACTTTCTCCTTTTTTGGCCGGCGTTCCTCTTATCTTACTTTAATTTAACGCGGTAGTCTCTTCGACTTTTTTTTTTCTTCACGCCGATTAGACGAGTGATTTAAACCCTATGTTGGCTTCGCTTCCAAAGTCAACCGAGTATTAATTAAAGCAGAAGCATTACATACAGCACGGGCAGTACATATGCAATTATATATTATATAATAATAATAATATAATATAATGATGGATGACTAGTGTGCATGGATGGTGTACGATTATATGTTGGCTTAACTGCGGGCTGAGGTTGATGATGCTACACCGTACCGTACGTGCCGGCCCGGCCGTCGTGCACGTGCAGTGCAGGCTGCTAGCTAGAAGGAGAGCCACTTCAGCTGAATGCATAATACGGACTGTATATCCGGATCGAGAGCAATAGAGCATGCAGGTAGCTAGCTCTAGCTGGGGTGAAGCATGACATGATGATGAGCTATATAGGGCCGCCTAGCGGGCGGCGGCGATCCTGAAGTTGTTGCCGGCGGTGAATGTCTGTCCAAAGCGCCAGGCTGGTCCGGCGACGTTCCAGGAAGTGAGGGTGCGGCGGTCGCTGGTGGTGACGCGGAAGGAGAGCGCCCCGCCCACGAGGATGGAGCTGCACTGCCAGTTCTGTCCCCAGTTGCGCGCCAGGGGCAGCCACTCCGTGTGCGAGGCCTTGACGGCGGCGCGGACCACGTCGCCGGCGCCGCCCACGTTGCTGATCAGCACCAGGTTGAAGTAGCGGAAGCCGTTGACGCTGAACCGGATGCCGCCGGACTTGCGGCACGCCACCCTGCAAACACAAGGTAAGGATCGGTATCGGGACGAGGGATCAGGATGGGAAGAAAATAAAAGCTCACGAGCATCCTGCGCCCCCGCCCAGCACACAGTACTACTGTCGCTAGCTGGTTAGCTGCATCGATGACATACACCAGTAGTACGTACGTAATTCGGTAACCCATCCTCGATATGCAATGCATGATCTGTCCGTCCTGCAGAGAGATTGACGATGGCCTGTCTGTCTACGTACGTACTGTACGTACCTCCGGTATGTGACGGGGACGATGCCGGCGCGGTAGTCTGCGATGCGGAGGAATGCCGGCATGGAGAGGTCGAAGTGGTGGCGCGGCGGGTTGCACCACCCGCCGGCGTCCGAGGGCAGCGCGTAGTTGGGCGGGCAGAAGTTTGTGGCCGTGATCACCACGGAGGGGCTCCCGGGGTGGCAGCCGCCGCTGGAACTGCACTTGATCTGGAAGCAGGCGCCGCAGGTGAGTCCGTTGTTGAAGAGCGGCGTGCTGAGCGCCCCCGTCTCCACGCCGTACCCCGCGCTGTAGAGGTTGCCGTACCCGCAGGCGCCGCCCATGGTGCCCGACGCGTCGCTGCCACCGTACAAGGTGGCGTGCGCGCTCTGCCACGGCCCGCCGCCCATGTACCCCGCGCCAGCCGCCGGCCCAGCTGATGCGCATGCGCCGGCCAGGAGGATGACAATGGCGAGCAGGAGATCATTGTTGCTGCGCATCCGCATGCGCTTGGGGCTGCACCACATCCACATGGTGGCCGGCGCGCGGTGGTGAGAGACTGATCGAAAGGGATATGATCACCGGTGGAGGAGAAGTGGGCACTTGTTCATGCGCAGCCAGCAGCAGGCACACTACCGGGGACCGACGCTGCTGCGTGCTATAATGTTGTTGGATGCGATTGGGATCCGAGCGGATCGGAGCGGAGGTAGCCGTGATGATGAGGGATGAGAAACACGACAGGTCTGTCCTCATCGAGAGAGAGAGAGAGAGAGAGAGATATATATATATATATATATATATATATATATATATATATATATATTATATATATATATATATATATATATATATATATATATATATGTATGCAAGGTCATCCAGGTGACACACAAGGCAAGCTCATCTCAGCTCAGCTGAAAAGGATTTTAAAAAAAAAATAAGAGGAAGAAAAGAAAAGCTCATATCAAAAGAAAAGAATAGGACTACCAGAGTTTTCTTGTTACTACTTAACGCAGGCCAGCTCACTGCAATAATTACAGTACTACAGTAGTAGTACTACATTTGAAAAAAAAAGAGTGCTACGGATTATTTGCAGGTTTGATCAATTGTGCCCGTAACCACGTCCTGCCCGCCCAGCGCCCAACCACAAGCCCTGATGGTTGGCTTTCCTGCAAAGCAGCCCACATGTTTCGTTGCAGCCTTTTAAACTCCCTCTCTCAATTATTGTCGTGTTGGTTTAGTTTTCTCTCCTCAAATTCTACCTTACTTAGGGCCTCTTTGGCACGGCTTATGTCGGCTTTGGCTTCATCTATTTTGCGCAAATTGAGACACTGTAGCGTGAAGCCGTTTTATAAGCCGGGGTTAAAATGAACTAGAAGCCGAGAAAAACCAGTTTTTCTAGCTTCATCGGCTTTGGCTTCACCGGTGAAGCCGTTTTTGATGAGCCGTGCCAAAGGGGGTTTTAGTTACTTCTCCCCCAAACCATCAAAACCATGCAAGTTACCTCCAATTCCGGGCTACAACAACAAAGTGCTTTTCAACACGGTTATATATCCTTTTTAGTAGTTATTAAAAGAAATCAGTAAATATCTATAAGGTTTTAAAACCACGAAAAGGGTCTCTAATATTGTAAAAATTCTGAGGAAAAACCCTATAGGTATATTGGGATAGTAAAAACTCAAAAAAATATTTAGAGCTCATGATTTTAGCACTAAAAAGATGAGAAAATATATAAAAAACTACAAAAACTAAAGCATTATAATTGATGTCTAAACGTGCTTTGAAAACTTTATATAACAAATATATGAAAGCAACCAACAAGAATGCAGCATTTGTGTTTTTATTGTATAGTTTTTAAAAAAAATATGTTTAAAGATCCATTAGGATCTTCAAACAATTTTCAGTTTTTTTTTATTATTCTAGACTTCAATCTAATTTTTGGAAGGTTTTAGATATGTTTCCAAGAGTCATAAATATTAGTTGGGTTTTTGTTGTACTAATCCATATCTAGGATTTTTTTTTTGAAATTAGATATTTTTCATGGTTTTAAAATACTATTGGATATTTATCCAATTTTTCAACTAAAAAAAGCAAGAAAACGTCATAACAACTACTTCTAACAAGGATAGGGAGGTTATTTAAATGATTTCGAGAGTTGATGGACGAGATGTTATCTTATTTAGAGATCAATCAAAAAGTAAAATATATATCACGGCGATAGTTTTTCAGATGGGTCTTTTTCCTTTTGTTGCCCACTAATTCGCCCTCCTCCCTGCTTAAGGATTGAGCCCATATGCATGCATAGGGGAGGGAAAAAAATCCACATTACCTCCCTCAACTTTCGTGAAAGTTCACTTTCTCTTTCTGAACTCTAAAACCAAGTAAAACACCTCCCTCAATTTTTAAAACCGTTCATCTTACCTCCCTAGCCCTGTTATAAGCAGTTTTGAAGAAGATTTTGTCTTTTTTTTATTCCGGCTGAATCTTTGAAAAATCATAGTAAATCATAGAAAAATCTTAAAAATGAAAAATTTAATTTTGTTGGACTCCATATGAGTAGATGTGAACATATAATATGATATACTTTAGTACAAAGTTTTTGCTGTGGCTTTAGATCTATGCTTTTCTGTAATTAATTTGAATAATTTATAGCCGCAGTTTCTATGACTCAATTGTGATAAAATTTTTATAATGAACTAATTATTTTATGATTAAACTGTAGTAAAAATTCCAGTGAATAATGTATAGTTTAGTTAAATAAATTCAAGAAAGCTGAGCCCAACAGCCGACGACATCCGGTCGGTCTTCCTCCTTGCACGAGAAGGAACACGGAACAAGGATGATGACGTGGTTTTTTCTTTTCCCCCACAAGGAAATTCGAACTCGAGGCTTCCCCTCCAGCCACTCCGCTTCTCCAACGCCTAGCCGCCACCCCGCAGCAGCCATGGCGGACGCCGCCGCCGATCTGCGCCGGAGGATTAAGGAGAAGCGGGCCACCATCGAGCGCCAGATCACCGGCTCCCGGGACAGCGCCGCCGCCGCCTCCTCGGCCTTTAACGCCGCCCTCCTCGAGGCGCGCTCCATCGCCAACCAGACCGTCTCCAACCGAGGCATATCAACCTCTTCGCCCCCACTTCTACTACTCGCCTCTTTTTGTTTTTGCTTCGGCTTCGCCCTCCAATATATGGTTTAGTTAGCAGAATGGGTCAGCCGGGTCCGCTAGGGTTAGTGTGTTTTTTCTTTTTCTGTGTGGAGCAAAGTAGCCAACATCCAATCCAGAATCCACCACAGAGGCTCCTAGAATTAGTCTGCATTTCTACCTGGGAGCTCGACTTTTCCACTACTATGTTGGGCTTGTACTGAGATCTCACTCAGTGGCAGTTCCAAGTGACCAAGCACCTGCCTAGTAGTAGTACTCATTTATTGCTAAAGGTGTTCTCTCAAGACTCAAGGTGGGCGTTGCTCAATTCATCAAGAACTAATAGCAGTCATCAATTTGACAAATAGCTTTGGTCGTTGCCTTTCAGTACAACAATTGCCATTAGTATCTTATCTATCTATATAGTTGTTTAAGCTCAATATTATTTGCAAAATTACTTTACTCATATGTGTGTTTTTGGAATGGCAGCAAAACTCAGCGAACAAAAACAACACCTCCGGAAATTAGAATCAGATCTAGCACAGGCCCTCTCCGGTGAGCACAACTGCACAAGCATTTCCTCGTTTCCATGCGCTTTTCAATCAGGTTCATTTATTCTTGTAATAATAGTGAAATGTATCATCATCCTTCTTCCTTTTGTATACATGGCAATGTCATGCTGCATTGGCTAATTATTTCTACCATTGTCTGTTTTCTTCTTTATTTCATTTTGTTCCTCTTATACATGCTAACGGTATCCTACTTGTGCCAATTTTCTTTTTCTTTCTACTGCTTGGTTCCATACTACCCTCCTGATTTCTGTCTATCTCAGCTCATGGAAGTTTTCTCCCCCGCAGTTCAAACAAGCAGAAGGTCAAAACATAAGCTCATGACTGAGTCGATTTCAAACACCACTGCAACAAATGAGCAGCTCAGACGCTTGGTTATGGACCGTAGGGCTACAAGAGATGAATGCATGAATGCCATATCAAATCAACTCAAAGGTAATTGTAGTTACTGATTGTACAGTCAACTAGGTACCATTTGTGGTATTCAGCTTTCATGACATATATATTTTTTTCCAATCCACGTATTGTGGAAGCCTTGGTGATTCTTTGGCACTGTATGTCACAGTGTAGTTGTTTCAGGATTTATTATGGGGGCTTCTTTATATTGATGAAGCCCCTGTTTTTTTTTTATTAACAAAACCCCTGTTTTGCTTATTTACATCAATGGTCCCTGGTATCTGTTCTAAACTAAATACTCAATTAGCAGTGCTTTATTCAGATTTCAAAATTACAAAAGCTCAGTTTGAGGGGTTTTATTGATCTCTTAGATACAAATGAAATCATTTCTGATGCTTCTAAAAAATCTAGGTTTACTCTGATGTATATACACTATATTTCTGTAATTGTAAACTTAATTCTTTTTCCCCTTTTTTGAACATCTTCCTGGGATACACATATTCTGAAACCTATATGCCTTAGTAAATCTTGATTTGATGGCAGATATTGAATCCCTTGAAGCTGAGAGTGACGCAGATGGGGATAAGAACCTAGAGAATGCTCTTATGTGGTACGATAAGTTTCTTGGTTTTCAAGTTGTTGGAGAAGAAGGTAATGGAAATATTAATGACATGGTTAATTAGTATATTAGATTGATGCAATAGCATTTGACACACAGCTTTTTTGCCAGGGGTGAAATTTGTGTTCAACAAAATTGATGTGCAAAGTCCTGACAAGGAGTATTCTTTTTGCGTAAAGCTTGTTGAAGAAAGATACATCTGTGAGTTGCAAGTTTCTTAGCTGAGCCATCTGATACTTGTAGTAGATGTCACATGATTACATTTGTGCATAGATGTTGAAGTTCCTTTTCCTTTCGATAACAGTAGTCCGGTGTGTTCCATTTGTGGATGGCACTGAAGAATTGGTGAAGGATCTTAACTGCAACAATGATCTGTACAAATTTGTGAGGGTCATGAGAAACAGGTTCCAGGCTGCTACAATTAGTGGTACTTTATGCTACATATTCTCATTACCTGTTCTATCTAGAAAAAATGTCTATACTATGGAACTTCAATCATGACATAAGTTCCAGGCTCAGGAGTATTGGACATGGTTTGTGGTAGTTGTTCAAAAAAAAAAAAGTCTTTTCAGCTTGCGTAAATATTTGGTGGTTTGTAAATGTAGCAACTAACTCGTCATTATTATTTATTCAGAGTTATGGCTGTGCTTTTTGCAGGAAATCTGTTGTCAAGCTCCTTTTGCCCTGACGTATTATCCATAACATCTTCATCATTCTCAGCATTATCACTGGATTCCAGAAGTGAAAATAGCATTGATCGAAGTCGTACACAAGGTCAGTCAAAGAACCAGGAATTTCCACTTAAAGGGATAGCAAAATCCTCCCCTCATACCATGCTAATCGTGAGTACATTCTACATTCACCCCTCCCCTATGTATAGCTAGTTTGATATTGTTGTTCAGTTCATAGAAAAGGTAAGGCAGTATTCAGTGAAGAATAAATCAATACATATATTCATTGTAGGAGCGCTGCTAAAGTTGCCATCGAACGGCTGGCGTCGTAATATAGCAAATTCATCTGCGGCTGGGCAAACTGAATAGCAGGCAACGGGATTTACACTTGATAGACGGGATTCTCCATCTCGACTTACTGTTTGCTCTGCCCAATAGCAATGGGCCGCGGAGATCTGTACAGTAAAAGTTAAAGCACTTCTGAACCCCTCTGTTATTGACACTAGCAATGCTGTATAATGTTGTCTGCTGCTTGCATTTCTGACTCAGAACTCGTGTTGTACTTGTACCTCTGTTTTGCTGTTTGTAACTTTGTATTACCTATCATTCTTAATAATCATGGTAATGTATAAGCGTTTGAACCTGCTCTTACATGTTGAAATGGCTTACATATTTGCCAGACAACAATGTCTGAAGGGTCCACAAAAATAATGTGCAAAAAAACTCGATTCTTCCTTGACTAACTTGAGATCTTGCTGCTTTACATCACTGATAGCAATGGAAAACTCATGTTGGTTGCAGACTTGCAGCTCGCATGGATTTCTCTAATAAAATTAATAATGTACAGTCTGGCTTACTTCTGACAGAACACCCCCCTGAGCTAAAGTATTTTCCCGTTCATGACATTTACCGTTGTGTAGAATTGATCAAGTTAGTTGTCATGGATGTACATAGAAAGCACTGTTTTCATCCAGGTACTTCGCTAAATGAGAAATTTAGAGCAGCTCGATCCCACTGCAATTTTGATAGTATTGAACATCAGCACAAAGGTAAAGAACAACTTTTTTTTTTTTGAGGGAAAGGTAAAGAACAACTTGTTTCATCAAGGTAGCATAGAGAATCCGTCTATAATGAAGTAAATGGTAGTAAATCAAAGGACAACAGGACATCATCACCCCACAATCATAAGCATGAAGAACCAAGTAGCAAAGAGATAGACATTTGGATCCAAATATCCAGCTGCTTTAACTAAACACCAACAAAATAACCGTCCTAGATAGTTGAAGAAGAAAACTGGGCAATCATTCTTATTGGATAGTAATAGTATATGGGATGTAACATCAGTGGTAGCAGTATCAGTCAGTCCTCCCACCCCTTGAGGAGCTGGTTTTCTTGTCCTCTAATTAGTAGCTCTTTTTCGTACAAGAGGCAGTGCTCAAAAATACAATGATCCACCGCCTCAGGTTCTCCTCCAAGGAAAACAAAAAGGGCTACATTTGTAACCAACAAACGATCATGCAATCACCGATGTCTCGATTCTGGCTTTGCTCGAATTCCTCACATCTTCATCCTTCTCAGCTTCTTCCCACAACTCAGGCAGTGCTTCCTTCATGTTGTGGAGGCTTTCCAAGGCATGGTCAGCACCTTTTTTCCGCTCAGATGTTCCAACCTGGTTGGCACATTCATTCATCAGTCATCACCTTCGCATAACATTTTTTTTGCCACCCTCCAAAATTCTCTAGCATCAAATACAAGGGAGATTGCTGCCGTTTGCTTACCAGGACAGTACACATTCCAATTTGCTTTGCAGCTTCAATGTTCCTGAAGCTGTCATCAAACAATATCTGGAAGGTGTTTGTGTTTCAGCAAGCAAGAAAAATCAGTTACCAGTACACCATAGCATTGTTAACATACACGGAAGGTAGCCATCAGATGTCAAGGCTGACAATGATGAGCAGGTAGGTGCTTACAGTTGTCTGTGGATTGATGGAGGCGACCTTGAGGGCCTGCAGCATTGCCACCCTTGACGGTTTGCACAGGATAGGTGATTTTGGTAGCTCCACCCCAGGCTGTGGATGAACCAGATGCTTCATTATATCAAAGATTTGAAGTTCCTCAGCTGGGATAGGAGGAGGAGATGTCGGGTTCAGTGTCTCAAAGCAGACGACTCCTTCAAAGCAATCCTCAATCCCAAGCCTCTTCAGGGCCCTTGAAGCATGGGCTCTGTCACCGTTTGTGAACACCTATAGAAATAGAATTACACAAAAGCCAAGCCAATATGAACAATCACTTGTTTTCGCTGTGGAGTAAACACTATCGAGTTGTTGGCATGCCACATACAAGTTTGCGAATGGGTAAGCTCAGGAGGATGTTCCTAAGCACAGGATCAGGCTTGATTTTGTCATAAGACAACCTTCCATGGACAAAGCTGCACAGGAATCAAGCGAGAGCATTAGGAGCCTGAACTGCTCTCTACCAAAATTACTGGACAAACTTTATCTGGAAAAGAAAATCGAATCTGGGCAGAGTCCAGTACCTGTGGTAGTCATCGTAATCAAACTGGTACCCAACAGCCTATTATATGTATAAACCGAACCAACAAGATAGCAAGAAGCAAGGTTTATTAATATTAGGGCCAGTAAGCAACAAGAAAGAAGCAGAAGCAAAAGCAATGAAATGAAATCGTTTTATTCTGGGATTGAAGAGCACGCACCCTCAAGCCAGCCATGGTAGTTCCATACTGCTTGTAGAGGAGGACGCATAGCTCCAAGCTTATGGACTCCTGAACGCCGAGCTTGTGCACCATATAATCTGAAGAGCACAGTCTCATCAGCATACAACAGCAGTGACTGACCCCTTGCAACACAGGAAGGAGGAGGAGATGGACTGTGATAACTAACAAGGGCTAGCTGTATATGTAGTGTACCTTGGATGTTTTTCATGATGTCGGCAGCAATGCCGGAGTTGAACGGGTATAGCGTGTCATCAAGGTCTAGTAGATAACAAGACAAGTAATAAAGATTATTGACTGATTTGTGTTTGTGCGATTGATTGATGAGCATGACTGCATGAGCATGTAAAGAGGAGGCAGTATATACTGTATACATACCGAAGAGGAGGCAGTCGCACTTGAGGAGGCTCTGGTCCTTGCTGTACTTGCCGTCGAGCTCCATTTCGATCCTGTGCTGCGGAACAAGAAGAGACCAATGTTTTACGCACTCCGTTCCGCAATAGCAATGGAACAAGGCATAGACTTTTTTTTTTTTTGGTGGGGAAGCTCTACAACTGGAACGCTGCGATCTGGATCTAATCTAAGTAAGCAAACAAGAAATAACAAGATCCCGAAGGAATTGAAGCAATGGCACAAAAATTATTGTGTGGCTGGCGTCCTCCTAGGCTAGGCCTGACCTAAATAAATTAGTTATAGAAAGGAGAGATCTTTGGGGGCGAAGAAGGGGACGAGAAGAGATTGTTAAGCTGGCGAATGTTTTCCATTACCAGATTTAGTTTCCGCGGCGGCGGAAGGGGAAGCAACAGCAACGACGACAACGAAGGAGGGCGAAGACGAGGGACCTCAACCTCACTTTGCTGGCCTGACCTGACCTGATCTGATCTGCAGGGATTCAATCCTAGTCTGGGCGAGGATTGGAGGCGCCGGCGCGGAATGGGTGGAACGGAATGCAGGAGGAGGGGGAAGCGAGGGAGAGCTGATCTGTTTTTTATAGGCGCCAGTCCAGTCCAGTCCAGATCGCTCAAGATTTGAAACCCAATCCATTCCCCAGTATGAATGTGAATGAATAGATCGTATACGTATGATGGTCGGTGGGTTCCTTTTGGCATTGTTGATTCTTCACTTCACTTCACTTTTTGTCAACGCACGAATAGAGTACGTACGCGTTGATTGATTGAAAAATACCATATGGGATGCGATGCGTCGGTGCCCTCTGTTGCCGCCGCGTGTAACGCTGGAATCGAGCCACCGCACCACATCCTTCTTGCTTGCTGGGGACTTTTCCCCCTTCAATTTACACGTACTACATCAGGAATTCAGGAAAACGGATTCCTTTGCAGCCTTGGTGTCTGCCGTGTGCCAACAAGTTCAACACTAGCAGCAGGGGCCAGGGAGCAGCAGCTTCAAGCATGCCGTGTGCCATAGGCCATCATAGCCCAACCTTGTTGTCATGAGATTCTGCATTCCCAGTCCTTGTCATCACTTGTTCAGCTCTTGTTTCTGGACATGACAAGGAGTCAAGGAAGGAAACACTCAACACAGCATCTGATTCTAATACCCCCTACCCTTTGCCTCATCTATCTATCTATCTATTGTACCACCTATTTCTAGAGACATCAAGGGGGAGGAGCAAGATAGAATCAGTACACAAGTTACAGGTCAAATATAGCGTACGTCGAATCAATGCACAAGCTCTTACAGCTCAAAAAGAATCAGTACACAAGCTATTACAGCTCAAAAAGAATCAATGCTTCGGCTTGAAGGGACCATCAGTCATCAACACATACAAGACCCACCGCATGACAAGTCAAACTATTCAAGTATATTTGATTGTTACGGCCTTGTACAAGTTTATTTTGTGACGATACTGATACAGGTAAGGCATCGTCACAACATTTATCGTTTTTTTTCCTAGTTGATGAGTTACAATCCAACTGGTCAAGTTAATGTCACTTACAGATTACAGTTCAGTTCCTCTGTCTTTTACACACATAAACAACAAAAAGAATCAATGAATTACCAGGCTTCACAATATACAAAAATCACTCAATAAACAAACATCTGTCTGTATCACTACAACATCTTGTTTGCCTCCGATCTGGTCCTCCAGGCCCGCTCTGTTCCTCACCGGATGTGGCTTCTTGAGAATGACCAGAGCCCAATATCACGCACAGGAGTCTGAATACGAAAACACACCACCATGCATCAGGGGGTCAGGAATGCTGCTTTCACAACTCCCATTAATTCATTCTCAACCTTAAGAAATTATTGCCTACCTGTGTTTTAACTGATGGAAATATGTTCCAGAACCGTAGAGTTTCGTCGCCTGCTCCTGTTACTATTGTCTGCAAATTACATCTCACCATCTTAGCTGCTCTCCTCAACGAGATAGATAGTAGTTTCTGGGTTCATCATTAAAACAATGTACAAACTAACTGCATTCGGGTTTACCTGTCCATCAGGCGACGACGCAAGGTAAAGCACACGCATTGTATGTCCGGTTAGAGTTGCAACCTGTTTGCCCCCCAAATAATCCAATAGTCAGTGAAATTAGGTTAAAAAGAAATGGCCCCTGGTAAACTGTATAAGTTACGCCATACAAATGATATCACTACAAAAACTGTTTATTGAGAAGCACATAACCTGTGGACGGTGCACAGCAAGTGGTTTTCATTGCCTAGTTTACATTTCTATTGTGTTTTCAGCTGCTCGTAAGTCAATGTCTCAGCCCACAGAAACAAAATTACATCTTTGGCGTGGAATCCAAGACGAATCTAATTAATAACTTGCATATGGAGTCACACCATGGAGGGCTTTTGATGCCTCATACCAAAAGGGCACAATTATATGACAATGTTCTTACTGATCAACTGATGTGGAACTAAACATGCTATCAATGGTATTATACAGCAAATGGTTTTCATTGCTTGCTTTAAGTTTCACTGTTGTTTTAAGCATTCCTTAATTCAATGTATCATCCCATATAAAGAAATTATTATATTTCAGAAGCAAGCCGAGAAAGACTGTGTTGCGCAGATTGGAAGTCATTCTATAATTGTATCCAAAGGATGCAGTGTACGGCTGGCTTACTGATATATCAGGAGATGCTAAGTACTTAGATCCACAACATATAAGCTCACCTTTGACATGGATGGATATTTCCACACCATGATTTGATTTTGGGAATACCCATGTGTGCTCACAAGCTCATTCACATTTTTACACCACGCAAGGTTGCAAACCTGCAACAGAAAGCAAAAGATGAGGATAGCAGCACCACACAGCAGAGAGATCATTAGTGGTCAGAACTACTACTTGCCTGGCTGCCTGTGTCAATTGAGTTCAGAACATTTCCATTAGCCGTGTTCCAAAACCTGATGCATCTATCAGCTGTTCCACCTCCTGATGCCAGGAGTCCTTGCTGATGTGGTGACCACGCTATTGCTTTAACAGCGGCTGTATGTTCTGTCAACCGCAACACTGGCTGTTGCGATCGTTGGTTCCACACTAATAACTGGTTGTCATTTCCGCCCGAGGCAAGCTCACGGTCGTCATGTGACCATTTGAGTCCACAAACCTGACAATTACGTTCACACAAAGGTCTGAGATCCAAAACCCTCAGACAAGATGCTTTTTTATTTTGCACAGTGATTGAAATATTTGCCAAGACGCTATTTATGTCATGGAAATCTCACCTCTGATCTATGACCACAAAACTTGCTGATATAGTCACTGGGGACGCGGATGTCATGCTGCAATATGTTCTTGTCCCTGCTACCTGAGGACAAGATGCATGAGCTCCATGCCAATACTCCAGTCCGTGTTTGGTGACCTCCCATATTTCTAATCCGTTTACAGCGAGAACTGTCCCAAATCTGTTCAAGTATCAGAGTTACTTATACGTCAATACATCATATTCATGGAATATCCAAACACCCCCTAAGAATTTGAAATTTGCGATGAAATCTGGCACGTTTGAGTCAGGGGTGTAAACTGGTTGTCAGACAAGTTGTCCGAATAAGCGTGTATCTGTACGGTCATACGTCATACCAAATGAAGCAATTCATATGCGATGCCATATTAAGCTGAGCTAAATAAAGCTGCAACTTTTAGCTCTATATAAAGTGTAACCTGTGATTAAATTTTTGGTTGAATGCATTATTGTGCAGTTGTGAACCACGTGAGATATATCAGTCCAGATTTTCAGATAAGGAACCCCACTAGTGAATAATTTGAACATTTTCCATTTGGTACTAGGTTTGAACTGACTGCTATTGCAGTAGCGGCATGGTAATGGAGAAAGCAAAGCAAGGCAAACCTGGACATCTCCAAGGCCGGTGCCAATGGAAAGATAAGAGCCTTCCCGTGACCAATGCACGGCGCAGACGCTGTCCCTGGGCCCCAAATCGCAGAGCTTGGTGACCTGGATGTTGTTTGGTGGGTTAGGGGGTGTCATCCAATCCATCACTGTCATTATCATAATATAGTACATATGCATACAGTATGCAGAAGCAATCTTGTTTGTATAGATGAGACAGTACCTTGCTATTGGACGCAGACCATAGGTAGACGCAGGTGCCGAGGCCGACGGCGAGCACGTTCTGCGAGGACCAGTCCACGAGGTTGAGGTAGAAGTCGTCCTGCAGGGAGGGTGCGTCCAGGACCTGGTGGCGTACGTAGAGACGCGGCAGAATTAATCAGTTGCCCTGCCCACGAGGTGTTTGTGGGATTGTCAAGGAGTAAAGAAGGAAATGAAGCTGTGTTGCCTACCTTATGCGGCGTCTTGGGGACCTTCCTGGGTGGCTTCTGCGGCGACGGCGCGTCTCCGGAGCCCGCGGTGCAGTCATGGTGCGCGGCGGCGGCGGCTTTGGCGAAGGGGGAGGTGGGCGCGGAGTGGTCTTTCTTGAAGCGGAAGAGGTTGGTGTTGGGCGATGCGGATGCTGCGGAGGTGGCGGTGGTGGGTTTGGGCGAATCAGGGCCGAAGAGCTCGGCGCGGAGGAGGCGGGAGTAGGGCGTGTCGTCCTTGGCCGGGGAGAGAGGGGAGTCGAGGAGCGCGAAGTTCTGGAGGCGGGAGGAGGAGCGGCAGGGGATGAAGCGGTCGCTGTAGGTGGTCTTGGATGGGGAGGGCGTCTTGGGAGGCTCGGCGAGGCGGCGGGAGGGGGACGGCGTCGAGGGCCCCGCCCCCAGCCCCACGGGGTCGAGGCGGAGCGCGGCCGCCATGGCCGGTGGCACGTTGAGGCGCGGCTTGGCGTCCGAGGCCGGCGCCGCGAGCGCCATGGTGGATTACTGGAGATGGTTGCCTCCGCCGCGTCGCCTCCTTGGATCTCTCGATCCCGATCTCGATCTCAATCTCGATCTCTCCCCGACAAACAAGGAAGGGCCTCGATCGAAGGAAGGGAACGGAAGTGGGAAAGGAGGACTGGAGGAGCGGAAGAGGCAGGCAACAACGGTCACTAGTCGCTTTGTCGGTCGGTGGACTAGCCGTTGGATGGGGTATGGGCCAATTCCACTACGGGCCGGGCTCAAGGCCCATCGTTTTACTGACTTCTCTTGCTTCATTCCACCTTTTTTCCAAAAATAATAATAATAATAACTTACCTCTCTTAACTATCGTAGTCATCCTCCTTATTAAACAATAAAATCCGGTTGTCAATGTTCGTGTGTGAACGGATGCTACAGTTGTATCCAGATAAGAAGTTTAAAAAAAACATCTATGATTTTATAGACCTAAACAACTTTTAAAACCATTTATTCTTTTATCTTAGATAGTTTTGATGGTGGTTTTGCTGATATGGTGCCACGTTAGAAATATTATTTTAAAAATATCAAAATAGATATAAAAATAATTTGGGGCTTAACCGTTTCTACCCCTGTTTTGAAGTGAAATGGTGATTTTGCCCTTGTTTTTTTAATTTTGTGATTTTACCCCTGCGATTTCAAAACGAAGGCAGACTTTAGCCCTGCTCTGTGAAGTCCATCTAATGGTGTTAACTTCTAAACCAAAGGACAACTTGCCCATGCATTTTTACCCCTTGCTTTATTTTGATATTTGTGTTTTTACCTCTATTTACGAACATGTCCTTCTTCATCTAACCATCCATGGCCATGGTAGCCATGGGAGGCTAGTTGCTCGTCCTGTGCTCGTGTTCATGGGGGAGGGAGCTCCGGATAGGGGTGTCGGGACCCACGATGAGAGAGCGCCGGTGGTGTGATGGCGGTGCTGGGCCGGGCCTGCACCGATGATTTGCCAGATGAAGCCGCTGCTGCAGCAGGGGCGGCGTGGGGAGGAGTGGGGCCGACCTGACCACAGAGCGTCTTGCTGCCTGAGGCGCGGTGGCGTCCTAAGGAAGGGGCACGGCCGGGGATGACTGGAGTTCACCGGAGTTGAAGAAGAAAGGATGGTGATGCGGTCAAATGGGAACCGATTCGTGCAAAATGAGTATACCATGGTGAAGAATGAAGAGAGCAACCTCATGGTGGTGGTCGTTATCGCTAGAACTCGACGGGTTCACCGGAAAAACTCATCGAGGAGTTCACCGGAAACCTAGCCTTTTTCGAACGGCACCTTAGCCGCTCTAGGCGCGAGCTGGGGGGCAGGGGCAGGGGGAGGGGGCGCCGCCGAGAAGACCGCCGCGATGAGCGGTGATGCCACTGAAACCGCCTTTCGTGCACGATGGTCGAGCGAGCGAGAGAGGAGAAAAGCTTATGTAGGGCATTGCTATCTTTTTGTCTAGCTGTCTTTTTATTTTTATTTTTCTTTTGCCATTTAATCCAACCAGTCCAAACGGTATTAGAGAGTAGGGGTAAACGGCTGCTTCGTTTCAAAATAACGAGAGCAAAATCACAAAGTTAAAAAGAAATGGTAAAATCACCATTGAGGTCTGGAGGAGCAGAAATACCAAATTCCCAAATAATTTTTGAAAAAATATTTACATATATTTTTACATGAAAATAATACAAATAAAATTCTAAGATAGGGTTTAATCTTAGAATATTAGTAGAAATTTATTTTATCTTGGAAAATTATGAAACTAGTTTTATTTTTTCCTAAAAATCATATGTTGCCTAGCTTAATATTGTTTGAAATTTGATGGACACATTTTGGTGTTTACTTGCTTTTTTTTAGACGAAAAAGAGGTGTTTACTTGCTAGTACAAGCTATCGTTATGTGTTATGCTGACCCCTGGACCGGGTAATTTTTCAAAGTAGTCGTGTTAGCCTCTGTGGCTACATGCACCCTCTTGTACATATACAAGCATGCATCCTTCATTTAATATACTGAATTAAGTTTTACAAACATCATGGCCTGTGTGCTACCATCTAGATTTTTCTATCGCACTACATCATAATTTATTGTATTAAAACTTAACTAAATTCAATAGCTATAAACTTGATTTTAAGGGTCTATTTGGTTGAGTTGTGAGCTGAGAAAGTTATTGTGAGCTATGAAAAAGATGCTATGAGCTATATGTCGTAGAAAAGTTGTAAATTGTTTTGTTGAAACAAGAAACTTACCTCCTCTCTTTATCTCCCTTAAAACTACTATGAAACAGCTCTCTAAGCTATTTCCATCCATTTTGAAAAGCAGCAAGCCAAAAGCAGGCCTAAGTTGATTTCAAAACTTTATTGCGTGAAAGCAGCTACTTCTTAAAAAAAGCAGCTTTCGATTGCACCTATTTAGTTGGCTTTCTACTTTTTGATAGCAATATTACTACTTTTCAAAAACTCAGCTAAAAACAGCCTAAATATATTAAACGAAACTTTGGCATGCATGCATGCAGTGTAGATATACGAGTAATACAACGACGACAAGGCTCACTGTATATAATTCCTGGGTAGCTAGCAGCCATAGCTTGTGCCTGCATGGCATTGACAGCATGTGACATGAGCAAACAAAAGCCTTGAACGAAAGCACATGCGGGTAGGAGTGTAGCTAGCTAACAGCAGGATGTATGGACGACGGACGACGGCGTGGTCCTCCTCCTCCATCATCCATATTCCATATGATCGATCCCTCTCACCGCTAGCTGCTAGCTCCACGAGTCCATATGTCCATATGTCCAGCATGTGTATGTAGATAGCAGTACGTATGTAATCGCCCATGTATATGCATGATGCATGCATAGTAAGCAAACGCATCCAAGCCATGCGTTGACCCTTTGCGCTCGCTTTTAATTTGCGTTGTACTACTGCTACTACTAGCTAGATCCCATTAGTAAGGATGCGTTTGGTTGCATGGGTATACGGTGACAACCTCTAGCAACAATGGTGCTCAAGCTTAGGGAAGAACGAGACAAGATAGGAGAAACACGATATATATGTGCGAACGAAGTCAAAGTGTGACACCCCCAACTCTCAACACTACTATAAAACAGACCTTCATTCACCAATGCCGGTTGCTTACAAACGGACGGTGCTAACCCTTCACTGCGAGTTCTTAAATTGGAAATCCGAAAATGACTTAGGTCCTAATGAACCGGTAATGAAGCTCTTATCACTGTTAGCTCAAGCCACAAAACGACAGTGATATTATGATATATAACTGCCGGTTTGTGGCTTGAACCTACAGTGATAAGGACCCTATCCATTTTGGCTTATAGCTTGAGCCGACAGTGATTGTTGTACAGTGCAAAACCCTCCTTTCTCCTCCCTGTCCCTCCATCACGAGCACACTCATCGAAGGAGGCGCCTTTTCCCACCTCTTCCTCCATTGTTGCGATCATTTTTCACCAAAATGCTCATGCAAGGTCATGGATTTTGAAGGATGGACATGATCTTCTTGCTTTAAGGTTATTAACAAACATCCACTCATTTGAATTTTTAGCTTCTCAATTGTTTTGATGGCTAGATTGCTTTGTTTCTCATGCTAGTTATTTCTCTATTTTAGAGAGCACTTTTCAATTATAGTGAATCCATATCTTCCAAAAGGTTTTTGTCTATGGACCCATATAATTTCTAGCAAATTACATGGTGGTTTTGATGATTGTTAGTATGTGATACTTTAGTTCATGCGTGGAGTAGAGTTTTTTCAATAGGGCTACCAGTTTTAATTCCCTCAGTCTTCAAAGCCAACGTGGGCCTTAGAAGCGATCCCTTCGTATAAGCCTTTTCCAACATGCTCCATGAACAATAAATATATCGCAAGGTGCGGTGTTGTTATCAAGAATTGTTTACATCGGGAAGAAGAACGCGGGAACTCGAAGCTTTCAGGATTGTATCATCAAGGAATCGATTGGATGAGAATCGGTATCAGCTGATTTAGATGTAATATCAAAATCGGCTATTTTATGGATGATGTTAGCAGAGAGCGTCAATGGGTTATACTTGAGTGGTGTTAGGGAGACGTGTTGGACTCTACGAATAAGGAAAAATTAGGGTCCAAGTTATTATTAAGTTAGAAATTTTATTTTATTCCAAGAATTGTAATGAGTCGAATTTGAGTAGGATTTATGTTTAGGTTCTAGGTATAAATATTAAACCCTGGTTATTGTAAAAAGGGACGAACATTCAATCAATACAATCTTTTCGGCTTTCGCCATCGCATTAGGAGTAGGAGTACTGTAGATCTCGGTGAGTTCTTCAGCAAACCGGGCTGCATCGACTGATGGACCTCGAGTTTGCTTGTGAGTACCGTCACGACTTGTATTATGCTTGTAAAGCTGCATCAGCTGATTGATCTTTTATGAGCCATAATATAAGTTAGTTATCAATCTGTATCATAATTTGTAAGGCTGTATCAGCTGATTGATCTCTTACGAATCATAATATAGATCAAAGTTATCGATCTTGTGTAAAATAACTTATTATTTAATACAATATCACCAGTTATCGAATCTGCTAAGATTAGTAGGATTTTCTTGCTGTTTTTGGTTGATTCACCAGCTATCGATCTTGTTATAATTAATGTTTTCTTAATTATAACAAAATCACCAGATTAAGATAGAGATAGATCGACATCATATCATCTTAATTGGTCGTCTTCTAGTCTGGTTACGCTTTAAATCTTATGATTGATGGCTTAATTCCGCTAGATCGGCTGTTCTATTTCTATCCCAATCAATCATAGTGTGTATTCAAAGGCATGTTTCAATCTTCAACTTAAAATATGAGGAAAGATTATTTCAGTCATGACTTAAGGATAGACTCACATAATACTTTTCAAACCGAATTGAAAATCACTTGAAGTCATGCTACTGTTGGGAACTTATTATTAGGGACCCCATGTTACTTAAGTTGTTGTGGAATGAGATATAGTAGAATAATAAGAACTTGATTCT